TCAAATAAATGCAGGCTTGGTGAGCAGAAGAGTCTTCTTTAAAAAACATTACTGTTCAAAAACTTACTGACTGGTCGTACATATAAATGAAAAAAGCTTGTCACCAAGTCAACATTTTTCTTTTCTTTCTTTTTTTTTTAGTTTAACTTAAAGTACTAAAATAACTAAAAACGAATAAAAACAAACTGTATAAACATATTACGAAAAAATCAAATAAAAACGAAAAAAACGCAAATATTCTAAAACTTTAGCTATAATTAAAATGAATAGGAAATATAAAACTCAAAACTATAATAGTAAATCCAGCTCATCCTGGAGTCACATTCTCTATCATCTCTTTAATTCTTCTCATATAAACCTGTTTAATGTGACGTGAGCGATGTGTTTACGGATGCGGTGACTGTAATAATGGTGATTAATAAGCAGGTTTAATGTGTCAGATGTGCGACGCTTCATTAGAATCAGCAGATTCTCATTGACAGAGATCCCTCATTATTTGCTCGTTAAACACGTGAAACGTCTCATTAGACAAGCACAGCATTAAACATGATCAATATTTCAGACGGACAGCGGACTGTGTGTGATATGATCAGAGTGAAACATCAGTGACATGTTTGGTTTGTTTTATCTGAAGGCTTCTGGTTAAATGACTGAACATTAGTTTAGTAGACAAATATAAATTGTGCCGGTGTATATATAGATAAATAGATAGAGTGCTCACACTACTAACCGCATCGCTCTGTTTGTTTAGTTTTGATGTTTTGATTGTTTTGTCTGAGTGCCTCCTGCTCTTTGACAGGCGTTTAATGGCTTGCTAATATTTATTTAGCATTCACACAGTTCAACTCCTGGTGACAGCTGTGTTATTAATAGCACTTAAATATAACCGTAAACACTCATGTTGAGTTATTGTGCTGGTCTGAACAGAGTCTACATCAGTGCTTCTCCACCTTTTTGACTCCGGTTCTTCTCCAGTTATTTTATTTACAGAAACTACGAGTCATTTATTAATTGTATTATTATATTATTAATTATATATAAAAAAACAATTACTATATAATTCCAGAATTTAAGAACTGAATGTTTTTTTGAAGTAAACATAAACAACAATAAAATAAAATTTAAAAATATAATATGTATTTATTTATAATATAATATTCATTCATTCATTCATTCATTCATTCTAGCTATTTGTACCTGAAACTTGACAAATTTCCATGACATTTTAAGATTTTATTATTTTAATTAATTTTTAATAAATTTAAGACTTTAACTCGTATATCCAGTCTAAATTAATGGGAATCCTGATTCTTGAATAATTAAATAAGAAATATGTCAGCTTACATCTTGATTTTTAGCTGTTTTATGATGATAAACTTTCATTTAAAAATTGTATTTATTTTTTAATCAATATTTTTTATTGTACTTTTATAAAAGTAGTTTTATATGCTTTTGTAATTTATATATATATTTTTTAAATGTTAATATTTAGGTTTAATTTATATTTTATTTCTGTTTTTATTTCTCTTTTATTCCCACTTACTAGCTTAATTTTTCAGTATTGTTATGTGCTTTTGTTATTTGTATTATTTATGTTTTAAATATAACTATTTAGGTTTTAATTAATTTTTATTTCTGTTTTAGTTCAGTTCTAGTTTTTATTTATTTTATTCCCAGTTACTAAGTGATCCAACTAAGTGCCAAGGCATCCATTTTTAATTTCCACTTAAGATTTTAATCTAATAGTATGTTATATAACTTCTTGAAGAACTTGAACTTGTAATACTGTCAGAAGTGCTACATTTTTAATTTGTAATAATAAGTCTGATGGACTTTGGGTTGTTTGCATGATCAAGAGCAGTAGTAATGGGTGATGATTGACTTACACTCTCTCTCTCTCTCTCTCAAATGTTTTTTTTTTTCATGGTTGTAGTTTTAGTTAACTATAATAACCCTGTATTTGGATAGTGTATGTGTTTACTCATCTCACCTGCACAAAAACAGATTTAGTGTTCCTCAAAATGAATAAAAACTGTCAAATGCAAACTCAGAATATTATACAAACCTACAATAATTAAATATGTTAAATAAGACAAATATAATTTGTATTTAATCCCATTTTATTAACCAATGTCTTTGCTACTGACCTTCGATGATCCAGTTCAACCATACTAAGCAAAAATAACACATTTGTGTATCATTTTAGTTATTGCTGAATAGTGTTGAACTTTCATCTCCTGCGTCATATTCTTCATGCTGCGCCCTCTACTGTACAGACGTGAATTTACATTTCCTTCAGCCTGAGGCTCTTTCATTTCACTTTTGGTGTGAAAGGGCTTTTACATTTGTAAAAGAAGAACTTTTTATATTAAAAACAAACAACAAGCCCTGCCCAGATTTAAAAAGTAACTCAAAAGTAACGTACTTAGTTACTTTTTTAGGGAGTAACGTAACACAATATCTGCTCTGAGCCACCTCAATTGTGCACAAGCACTTTATTCTTACACTTCTAACATTTCTTACATTCCTGCAATTTCACATTTCTACCTCATTTAACACTTCTGCCTTGTTATATTTATTTGATTTTTAACAATATTTAATTACGTAGGCTACTATTACATTTAATTCCATACATATTATGCATTATTATGCATTGTAAATTATGCAAAATTACAGCATTTAAATGGTAGAATTCTCCTTGCTTTGTCATATAGTGTCTCTGTCAGTGAATGGGACACAGATTTTACTGATACTAGTAAAATCCTTATATTGAATAATATGTGTCAAATAATGTTCTTAGTCTTGTCTTCCTGTGGGGAAGCATCCCAGCCAGAAACTACAATAGTTCACTATGAATTAAATGGAAATTAAATACCATTTATTGTGTAACCAAAATACCAATAACGCCCAGAAAAGAAAAAAAAAACTTGGCTTTTAATTAAAAACAAACCCAAAAAACACCGGGACTCTTATTTTGAAATGTATGCACTACTGCGGCCTGATCCTTCAGATGAGAGATAAAATATGCATTCTTACAACCGTCTAAAACATATTATATAAAGGTAATAAAGTAGACATTGTCATAATTCATCAAGGAGTTCATAAGCAATCGCTTGGCATAAATGTGCGCTATTCATTGATTGAGAATCACTTTGAAGCAACAGCGCCGCCTTGTGACTGCAACGTGCAGCGCTCTATTTAATGAAATCATAGCTTTTTGAAGTTTAATAATCGATAGGCTGTATCGCGATTTATGTTGTTCCATCCTCAAATATAAGACGTCTTAAATAATCATTAAGATGTTTGTTTTACCATTTCATGACTTGTTTATGAAATTAAATTTAAGAAAACTCACCCTGAGGGGTTTTGCTTTATTCGCACACATGCTCCTTAAATACATTTTACAGTTCGCGCACATCTATTTTTATTTGCGCCCTGTGAGTGTGAGAGTGTGAGAGTGTGAGAGTGTGTGTGAGAGTGTGTGTGTGTGTGTGTGTGTGAGAGAGTGAGAGTGAGAGTGTGTGTGAGAGTGAGTGTGTGTGAGAGTGAGAGTGAGAGTGTGTGTGAGAGTGAGTGTGTGTGAGAGTGAGAGTGAGAGTGTGTGTGAGAGTGAGTGTGTGTGAGAGTGAGAGTGAGAGTGTGTGTGAGAGTGAGTGTGTGTGAGAGTGAGAGTGAGAGTGTGTGTGAGAGTGAGTGTGTGTGAGAGTGAGAGTGAGAGTGTGTGTGAGAGTGAGTGTGTGTGAGAGTGAGAGTGAGAGTGTGTGTGAGAGTGAGTGTGTGTGAGAGTGAGAGTGAGAGTGTGTGTGAGAGTGAGTGTGTGTGAGAGTGAGAGTGAGTGAGTGAGTGTGAGTGAGAGTGAGAGTGTGAGTGTGAGTGAGAGTGAGAGTGTGTGTGTGTGAGTGTGTGTGAGTGAGAGTGAGAGTGAGAGTGAGAGTGAGAGTGAGAGTGTGAGTGTGTGTGTGAGTGTGAGTGTGTGTGAGCGTGTGCGTGAGTGAGTGTGTGTGTGTGAGAGAGAAAGAGAGAGTCAGTGTGTGTGTTACAAAAGATTTCTGTTTCAAATAAATGCTGTTCTTCTGAACTTTCTATTCATCTGTGAATCCTGAAAAATAAATGTGACTTTTCCTACATTTTTTCCCCAGAGTCTGAGAATCTGGACTATCGGTTAGGGGCGATTCACTCACTTGTTTACAAACTCCCAGAGCGGAACAGAGAGATGCTGGAACTACTAATCAAACACCTGGTCAGGTAACACATACATACATAACACATGCAGGCATGCGTGAACACAGACGTGCTAATGTTGAAACACACACACACAGACAGACTGTGGTTTTTCTAAATGCTACCCAGCTTGCTTGAGTGTGTACCTTTATAATTATATATTCAAACTGTGTTTTGATTAATGTGACAGGTTGTGTGTGTGTGAAAGTGTGTGTTCTAACAAACCTGACAATAAATCACTATAGCTCCATGTCTCATTTTGTGTGTGTGTGTGTGTGTGTGTGTGTGTGTGTGTGTGTGTGAAATATCCGCCGCGTCTCACGTGGGATCGTCAGCGCCCAAGTAAAGTCTATGTGTGGGAAACACTGCAACATTGTAATGCATCACTTGTAAAAGTATCTTCTGTGTTCTCGCAGACGGTTCAGACGCACCGGCCGCTCTTCGTGGCTCTTCACTGTCAGGAGGTCGGAGGGAAGAACTACGAGGCGTCCATGACACACGTGGACAGCTTCATCAAGTAAGTTCACCTGAAGCCAGTGTGAATCCGGTTCCTGATCAAACAGCGGCTCCAGCTCCAGTGTGTGTGTTTTCAATATCGTCTCATTATTAAAGGCCAAAGCCAATATTTACTCACACCTGAGCAGCTCAACCTGCAGATGCCGGTGAGAAACGAAACCGCAACCATCGCTGACTGAGAGCACTGCAGTATTACCGTGGTTTTTCAGACATGTACCAACTCTTTGATACAGTACACGCATTTCTAAAGCTATAAATCAGGGTTCCAGACTAACTATTTTTTACTAGGAGCATTGTAGCCCCTGACTGAAAACTTTTAGAAGCACAAGCGCACACCTTAAAGCAGCCTGCAATGCAATCGTTCACACATTTACCTCATTTTAACTGTATTACTGATTGATAATAAATAGACTTAACTCATAGAGATTACAATGTGCAGTATTCTTTTAATTTCAGAGAGATATGACATGTGTATATATATATAATATGATAATTTCTATTGTTTTGCATTAATAAGTACAGTTGCTAATAATATTACATGTTCATTTCTTGTTTATTTCATGTTTACACACATTTGACAGTAAAGCACTAAGCTTGAGTTGGGAAGCTTACAAAATGTATTTTATTAACAACAGTAATGTGCAGAATCTAATTTTTATGTAGAAAAGATATATATTGTACTCTTATTAAATGTACCATTATTCTTCTATAGTCTTACATGAAACTGACCAACAACTTTCATGATTGTGTGATTTAGTCGCAAATTGAAGAAAAGTTTGTTTTTCAAAGCACTCTGACGTTTTTTACTTAAACAAAAAAGAGCGAAACTCTGACAAAATCTGATTTCTTGATGATTTTATAATAGTGATTTTATAATTATTTTATAATTTCAAAATATAAAGGAAAAAGTATAAATGAATGACTAATAAGCCAATAAGTGCTCCTCTGCTGCCCTCTACAGGTTATAATGGTGATTTGATGTATTTTTTAATTTTACACAAGTGTTTGTTCATAACCACAATACTACATGATTATTCATATATGTGACCCTGGAGCACAAAACCAGTCATAAGTGTCAATTTTTCGAAATTAAGATTTATGCATCATCTGAAGCTGAATAAATAATCTTTCCATTGATGTATGGTTTGTTAGGATCGGACAATATTTGGCCGAGATACAACTATTTGAAAATCTGGAATCTGAAGGTGCAAAAAAATCTAAATATTGAGAAAATCATCTTTAAAGTTGTCCAAATGAAGTTCTTAGCAAAGCATATTACTAATCAAACATTAAGTTTTGATATATTTATGGTAGGAAATGTACAAAATATCTTCATGAAACATGATCTTTACTTAATATCCTAATGATTTTTGGCATAAAAGAGAAATGTATAATTTTGACCCATACAATGTATTGTTGGCTATTGCTACAAATATACCCCAGCGACTTAACACTGCTTTTGTGCTGCAGGCTCAGATATAATAGCACTATTTATATGGCACTTCAAAGAATCATCATTTCCACACTGCATGAAATACCTTGTTATTACAATGGTGTTTTGCAGTGAGTGTGTGTTTTGTGTTGTTTTGTCAGAGAGCTGCTGTCTAGTGACGCCATGAAGGACTTCAGCCGCGCTCGTGTCTACCTCGACAAGAACTACAAATCCCAGGAGCAGTTCACAGTGAGTCCCTCAGTCCTGTGCTGGTTTCAGGAGTTTCTCTAGTTTCTGCCTGCAGATTGACTGCAGAGCCGCTAGGGGGCGCCCATGCCTTCAGATCAGCCTTTTACTGTAGATATAAATGACCAGTCAAAAGATTCTGCTCATTGTTTTACACGTTTAATAATAGTATGTATGGTTCATATTAGGGCTGCACGATAAATCGCATGCGATATTTAATGCGCATCTTGTCAGAAAGCCGGTTCTGTAATTCTGAGTCCCCATGAGTCTGTGTGTAGTCAGGTTTAAGTCCCCACCAAGATATATAAACCAGTACACGCACACACATATACACACACACACACACATATATATACACATACTTATTTATATAGAAAACCAATAAAGTATATTTTACAAGATGAAAAATGAAACTGAGAGCAGAAACTCCCTATATATAATAATAAATTAATATATGAACTTAGATTTTTGTGTTTTTAAGAAGTCTTGAGAAGCATAAATTGATTTACATGTGTTTTAATCTTTTGATATTTGATATTTGATGTGATTTGCTCTTCTGTTTTGTTCAGTTCAAGTCAGTTTTGTTTCACACTGCACATTGTTTCAAAACAACTTCAATCAGAAAATCCATAATATGAATCTTTGTAAGGTCTTAAAGTCGTGTTATTAGAGCTGCGTGATATGATAGCTAGCGTTTGGAGATGATATAAACCATCAGCTAGTTGAGATGCATTGTTAGTATTTATAACTTCACGTGAGTATATGTGCATGGGTAAAGTTGGATATAAATATGATGTTTATCAATTTAAGAATGATGATCTGTTGATTTGTAGTAAATTCTGGCACAGTTCAGCCGTCGTGAAAGATTCAGATATTTGTCTTCATGGGTTCTGTGTTTATGAACATCCATATCTGGATAACATCAGTTTTGTAATCTCATAAATAGTCCCAATCAGTTTTCAGATTGAGTTTCCAGCTGCCACCACTAGATGGAAGCATAAACCCAGAAATAATGAGAGAGGCGCTAGAAATACTGTACTTCGGCAGGGAGAAATGATTCAAGATTATAATATTTTGCTAAGATGTTTGCTGATACTTGTATAAACGTCATATATAATAATCATTCATGCACATTCAAATATAAATGCATGTATAATATTTAAAATATAATTCAAACATTTTATGATCTTTCTGGACACTGCAAAAGATGTACTTCCTCAGTATTTCTGTCTTGTTTTCCAGTACAAATATCTAAACATCCTTCAATCAAGATACATTTACTGGAGATGCAAAATGAAGATATGAATTCTTGTTTTTCTGAGAAATTGAACAAAATGAAGTGAGTTTTTGCTTTAAACAAAAACAAATATCTTCCAGTTGCCTCAAAAAAAAGAAAAAAAGAAAAAAAGCTTGCTTTAACTTGTAATTAAGTAGATTTTTCTGACTATTGACAGATGTTTGTTCTTGTTTAATCGTAAACTCACTTCATTTTGTTACATTTTTTCAGAAAAGAAGACTTGATATGTTAAGTCATTTTCTTCAGCTTGATTTACGGATGTTTAGATATTTGTACTGGAAAGCAAGACGAGAGAATCTGGTGTATTGGGGCCGATCGGTGTCTCAGACAGTCAATAAACCTGCTGTGGCTCAGACAGACTCGTGTTGTTTTGCTCGGGTAACTGTTTGTTGTCTGCTCCAGCTGTCAATGTTCAGATAATGTGAGTTGAGAGAGAAAGACAGAGCGAGACAGACAGTATTTGCTGTTTGCTGAGGGAGATTTAGCTCCCTGATGAATAGTTTCTGTTTTCTTGTAATATAAAAATAACAGTTTTTTATAAATATATAATAAATAAATTTGCGCTCTCTCTCCTTCTGTGTAGTCATAGTCTTTTGACGAAAATGCCTTTTAGTTTTAGTCATCTGAATTGTTTTGGATTTAGCCTAGTTTTAGTTTTATTTCTGTTTTGGTTATAGTACATCAGGTTAAGCTAAAGCTTATAAACTAAATTAAATAAAATACGTTTTTTAATATATGTATTTTATATATTTATTAGTGCTGTCAAACGATTAATCGCATTCAAAATAAAAGTTTTTGTTTACATAATATATGTGTGTGTGTTAATAGAAATTATTAGTTTATTCCTCTTGAAACGAATCTTTCTCTCTTTGTGAATAGTTAAGCGTGATCCTCATGAATCTGCTCTGTGTGAGTGTGACTGTGTGTGAGTGTGACCGTGTGTGAGTGCGTGTGACTGTGAGTGTGTGAGTGTGACTCTGTGTGTGACTGAGTGTGTGTGAGTGTGAGTGTCTGTGTGTGAGTGTGAGTGTGTGTGAGTGTGACGGTGTGTGTGTGTGTGTGTGTGAGTGTGTGTATAATATATGTGTGTGTGCTGTATATTTATTATGTATATATAAATATACATGCATGCATATATATATATTTAAGAAAAATATGTTATGTTTATATACTAAATATATTTATAAATAATATAACTTATATGAATATACATACAGTATATGCATGTAAATACATGTAAATATTTTCAAAATATATACTGTATGTATGTGTATATATACATAATAAATATACACAGTACACACTCATATATTATGTAAACAAAAACTTTTATTTTCGATGTGATTAATCACGATTAATTGTTTGACAGCACTACTATTTATTTCCTTTTTTATAGATTTGTTTTTTAATTTCAGTTAACATATATTTTACAATACCAAACCGTGACATCAAAACCAAAGTACATACCAAACTGTCAAGTTTGTGTACCGTTACACCCCTAATATATATATGTGTATATATATATATATATATATATATATAT